TTCAACATTATTAACAATAAAAAGCAAGCAATTCCATAGAAAAGTTTAAAATAAAAAATCACCTGCACTAGCTTCAGAAATCAAATTCTGTCCCCGAACTTCTTTTGTCACGTTTACTGTCATCACCAAAACCGGCACGGCGAGTTGAATGGGAACTTTGACCAGATTGTGAACTGCCAAATCCACCAGAACCAAAACCCCCAAAACCACTCGAGCGGCCACCAGTGCCAAATCCACTCGATCGACCTCCACTTCCAAATCCACTGTTCCTAGCGGGCCCACCCAGGCCCGAACCAAACCCGCCCGACCGGCTATAACCCTGCCCTCCATACCCACCATCACCCGAGCTGCGGCCCCCATATTGACCGCCACCCCCAGAACCTCCATAACCACCCGACCTACCACCACCTGAACCTCCATAACCACCCGAGCGTGCAAATCCAGAATCACCAAATCCACCCGAGCGCCCAAAACCAGAATCGCCAAAACCACCCGAACGTCCAAAACCGGAATCACCAAAACGGCCACCTCCCATCCTTCCACCAGAACCAAATCGACCACCCCCTCCAATGCCACCATACATGTCCAAGGACCCGGGTTCAACAGCTATCCTCGGGAGCTACAGACGGGCAAGTTCCGAAAAAGTTCAGTTTAGATAAACTTTACACAAAACAAGAAAAACGATAGACGTGCAGCAAACAGTTTCATAAACCATAACATCTTAAAGTACTTTTAAGATTGTAGCTCACCTCATTGAATCGGCATCCTACATCACGTTCGATTCCTTTAACGTCCCGATGTTCATGGGTTGAATACATAAGAATTGCGGTACCTTTCTTCCCAGCACGACCTGTTCGTCCAGATCGATGGACAAAAATTTCCGAGGAATTCGGAAGTTCATAATGTATCACCTGTGCATAAAAAAGCAGCTACATTACTAATAACACATATTATGGAACTATAGGTTCAGACAAATCAAAGTTCTAACAGAGAGACCACATAATAAGTTCCTTCGAGCAGGCTATATATGTGCTTGTGCCCAGTAAGTTATGAAGGGCCTAAGAAATTGGAACCCCAAGTGGATTCAACATGCATTAATGATTTGAGTTAACTAATAAACAAATTTATTGATTATATTTTTCCATAGTAGATTATTTGTTCTAAATTAACGATACCACTGTGACTCATATTAAATGGCATTACCTTTTGAGTCTGAGAAAGATATTTTCTTAGGGAAAAAAAAAGACTTGCCATCTTTGCTTTAGAGGCTTTAAAACATTCCTATGACAATAATCAATAAGATTTAATTGACTATAAAAGGATAAATACATAGTTTAGTGTTACATATAAATTCATTCAGATTGTAAAGAAAAGGTATTGCTGCACAGACAGTCCAAAAGTCTATCATAAACTAAATAGTAGGTAACACAACCTTTTTAACAAATGCATCAAGAGCCAAGCATGAAAAAGAATAAACATAGAGGAAGAATCACCAGATCAACATTTGGCACGTCAAGACCTCGGGCGGCCACATCAGTTGCCACTAAGACATTGAATCGGCCATCCCGGAAAGAAGATAGAGTTCTCTCCCTTTGGTTTTGTGATATATCACCATGCAGTGGTTCACATTTAAAGTGCTTTTGCATTGCATACGCCAATCGATCAGCATCACGCTTTGTTTGAGTAAATACAATACATTTACCTCCTTTGCCATGCTCCTGATAACAGATCCACCACGGTGTTTCATTCATAATGAAATGAACCAACATGACAAATATATGATTAAATATATCAACACACTAAAACTCCAGACATACAGTAATCAGAGGACCAAGTATTGCTGGTTTCTCTCTCGACTCCGATGCAATTGAATACAACGAAATCCCATCAGCTAATTTCTGATCAGATTCACCCACCTACAATACATATTTAAAGTCGATAAGCCTAAAAGTCAGCCACCATACAAGAGAATACAAAGGACAACTGCATACTACTTGCTCAAAGGGAGAAAAGTAAGGGAAAAAAAAAAGATTATAGTGATTTAGTGCGAAGCTGTATCTTACAAGATCGATGGTAACTGGATTTCTCAAGAATTTCTGAGTAAGTTTTTGTATCCAGTTTGGCATTGTAGCTGAAAACATCATCGTCTGATGCCTCTGTGTAATATATCCCAAGATAGTCTCGACATCATCAGCAAATCCCACATTAAGCATCTGATCAGCCTCGTCAAGGACAACATATTGCACATTTGACAAATTCAGGGCCCCACGCTTGATCAAATCAATGACACGGCCAGGGGTCCCGACAACCACATCAACACCACGGTCAAGAGTACTCATTTGGCGGGCTATGGGAACACCCCCATAAACACATAGAGTATCTAACTTCTTGGCAGACTCGGCAAATTCTATGTCCACCTGTTTAGCAAGCTCTCTGGTAGGAGCAAGAATAAGTGCTAAAGGATCTCTGCCCTGACTGAATGACAAAAAACAAACAACAATTCAGCCTTCAAAATTCACACTTCCAAATAAAATTCAAGTAAGAAGATTGCTGAAGATTTTAGAAAGCTTAACCCGTTTTTCTCATTGAACTTAATGATTTTATCCATGATAGGGATCCCAAAAGCTAGGGTCTTCCCTGTTCCAGTTCTTGCTCGTCCAATCATATCACGTCCCTGCATGGCCGGTTCCAAAACTGCCTTCTGCAATTGCAAAAATTATTTTCATCATTAAGAGAAACAATCATATCCAACCAATAACAGGAAATGACCATCAGCCAATATGAACTAAAAGGCACATACTTTCTTCACACAGATGCACGTGGATATATACTTCCTGTGTTGAATCATAATGCTTTCAACATAATACTCAATAACTCTCCACCCAAAATACATGAACATCATACCGCCACTGAATGAAGACAAATTACAAATGTTTTTTTTTTTTTTTTTT